TTACGCTTTTTTTTTATATTAAACACAAAAAATGTATACTTATTCTATCTATTCTTATCAACTGCCCATAGTATTTCGAAAATGGCATGCCAGTTAACTATTATTTTATTAACAATTATTTCAATAATGAATTAATCAGCATTATTTGTTTCAGCCCTATATTCAATACACTATATATCACAGACCTTTATTCCCCACATATTGATATAAGGTTGACTTCCAATTTTATTTTTGGTAACAAATTTACTTTTTTTTATTTGCAATATAACTTTTCTATTGGGTGTATGCTGTACGCTTCTGTGCCCCTATGATTTTGCTGATGATATAATTCAATTCTGATAGTTCAGCTAAAGGAGCATTCAATTCATCTATATATTGATTTAAACCTAAGGACACAACATCAGGTTAACAGCATTAACAGAAGGCAACTGTTTTTAGCAATATATAATATATAGTAGCAATTTATAGTGTGGAAAAATAATAGTTTTCTTGGGAAAATGCTAAATTGTGTTCATAACTGAGTAGGCATGGATCGACTCGAAGTCCCAGTGTTTAAAAAGTGCAATATTTTTCTACCACAGCATTGCCAAGGTTTAAAGTCTTCTTGAATGAGAGGTCAGCTGTATTGCTGAAGTGACTGGGATTTTCTAAGGCTGCATGGAGCTTAAAAGCAACACAGCTCTGGGTCTACCATAGCTGTTACTGCACACTGCCAGTCAGCAGGCAGAAAGACTACACACTTTTCCGTAGTTTAAAAAAAGAAAGACTTGGTTGGAAAATAAAGCCCCAGTCACTCATACCAAGATGACTATTTTGTAACTACAGCAGGTAAGAAAGTTCAACGTGGCTGTCTAAGCAGACAGCCCAACTAATTAAGCAGTTAAAATCATTTTGCTATTCTCCTAGTGTTGCACAAAGATAATCACAGTGTGAGGATGTCATACTCATGCCTAACCCATACCTAGATACTAATTACATTACACAATAATGCACACCTCTGAAAGAAGGATAACCATTTGCAAGTTACTGTGAGTACATAGTAACATTTTTAGGCATAAAGTAAAAATATATACGTTTTAAAGTTACCTAGTGCACATTAACTGCTTAAAAAGGAAAAACCCTTTAGCATTCAAGTCAATCTACTCTTAATGTTAACCTCATTTTTGTAAGGGTGTTGACATCACAGTCAGAAAGCTAACAAGGTTAATATTTATACAACCAATCAATACAAAATAGACTAAACTAAACTTCTTACTTATTCAGTAAACTTGAGTTAAATTCATAAATGTAATAAACATATTTCAAAGTAAGGAAACATACATATTTGAAGCGATAATTCAAAACAATAGCTGCAAACTAAAACTGAAATTTCGTGCTTTGAGGCTTTTTTTGTGCTTTTTTTCAGGAGCCCACATCACACAATAAATTACTTCATTATTTCTGCAGAAGCATTTCTTCCAAGCTCTGAACAAGCTTACATTTTTACATGCATTTTTTAGATCATTTTTGGCTTCTTCAGGGTGAATCTTCTCCTTCTTCACATTCTTGTGGAAAAGACAATGCTCACTAGCAAGATTTCTCGCATTATTTTATCAATTCGAGTCCTCCAGTCTCATTCAAGGTCAGTCAAACGATTCCTTTTTTAATTCCTCACAAAGCCTGAATTCCGACATGTAACTCGACACTCAGTGGACATTTTCATAAAACCACAGAACTGGGTGGACGCAAATTCCTGATAGAAAATACTGACTGGAAATTTAAGGGAGAAACCGGAAGATCAGTTCTAAATATGGTGCACTTGTAGCCTGGAGTAAAAACGTGCCTACACCCATACTGGGTATGCAGAGAACTCCCTCATACCCTAAATCGCTTGAACACACAGCCTGACTGCTGCTACAGCCATAACAAGCCTAGCATTCATGCCCACAGATGCAAACACAGTAAACATCCAAGTCTGCATGAGCCCAGTTAAGCAGAGATGAAAAGCACTGATAGAGACTGCTGCTTCAGTCTACCCACATGTCTCCGCATCCAAAAATGCTGGGATTCTTTTGCTTAACAAAGCAGGTTTCTGACCTTAAAACTAAAGCTAGTTTAAGGTTTCAATCAATCGAGGGACTGGAATCTGACAATTTCCCCTTTATCTGAAGCTAACTTAGTGAAATATCTTACTTAATTTAACATTATTTGTAAATGTAAGAAACTTAGTATGTTCAGGTTATAAATTAGCTTAGGAACAAAAAAATATGTATTTTTTTCTAAATCAATAGATTAGGCTAGGGGAAATGCAATTTGATGCATGAACTAGGAAGGAGTTCATTTCCTGCTAAATGAAAATTTACCACCTTTATCAACAAATCTTCTACACATTGTATCTGTTATGTTTAATGGTGGAGTGAAAAAAATTAAACAAAAATATCAGTAAATCAGACATCAGACTTCAGAGAAAATCCCTATCAATGCATCTCTACTCCAGGAACATTTCAACTAAATTACCAAAGCATTCAAGATTCCATTCACATTTAATCTTTTATGAGTTGTAGGCTTTAGGGGATAAAAAAATAAAAAATAAAAATCCTTGTTGTAAAAAATAAATAAATCTGCAGGTCAAATACTGGAACAAAAATAAATACAAATCAGCATTCAGCTCTTCATTCATTCCAACAAAAGTAGGAACTTCATCCAGTTTCAGGCTTTAAATGTACCAACTAATAACAAGTGCAGAATTGCATTTTTGGAGTTTTATATTAAACAGTTATATAAAACATCATCATTTGTAAGCTCTTACACAAATATATTAATCTGATTCAGTAGCTCAGACCTCTTATATATATATATAAATATATATATTAGGGCTGCAACAACGAATCGATAAAATCGATAAAAATCGACTT